ATTATAATCTTTATAACATTATATATATATATTGATTGTTGCGAACTATTTATTTAAAGTTATATACATATCATATCATATATCATATATAAATAAGAAATTTATAAAAGAAATCGAAATTATCGTGAAAGATTACTTAGTTAAATCTAGTTAAGTAAAGTATGTTAATAAATGGATTATTGAATTTGCAGTTTATTTAATTAAAATATATGTAATTGCCTCATTGTTTGTTTGACTGTTCATTTAAAATTATATATTTTTTTATGTGAGTTGGGCTTCTTATAAATTAAGAATAAGACTCTAGATACTGCGTTATTCATGCGTTTTAAAGCATTTCTTTTAACATACTATTAAAATGCTGAGAATATTTAGGATTAAACATTATGGACTTCTAAAAAACCTATTTCCCCTAATTGTTACATTGTCAATCTTGATCATGATTGATATAAAGATATCCCTTAATACAGAAATATTATGAAATATTCAAGGTCCATGGTGGCTAATTGGTCTTAGCAGTGAGCTGATATTGTCGTTCCCAGTTATCGTATGATGCCCATACAGCTCTTGAGAAATTAGTACCTGCTTCTGAAGGCAATAAAAGTCATTTGATTACAATACATTGCCTTTAATTATGAAATCGCCAAATCCTTAACAATCATGACCTCTCAATCTTACAAGAGGATCTGGAAGAATTCTCGTGCTTTCATGTTACACAAAAAAGAATTCATCTTAACTTTCATCAAGTTAATATTTGTATTTATGAAAAGGATTAGAATAGGGTACTTGCACTTCAAGTAGAAAATCACGGATGCCAACACATGTGACCTATGACGTCAGCACCAGCTGACCCTTTTTGGTATTTTATTACCGTTGTTGAACAGCCGACCCAATTTTTTGCGTTTACGACTACTAATGTTCAACTCCGTAGCTTGTAATTTTGAACCCAATCCAGAAAACAAGGAAACTCCTGGATTAAGTATTGGGAGAAATTTGCCTTCGTGGAGGACTTTTTGATGGAACTAACCCGCATCTGCGTTACATGGTGAGGAAAATCACAAAAACCTCCCAGGGTTAGCCTGGCGACAAGAGGACTCTAACCCATGATCTGTCTACTACAGGGAATATTTTACGTCAGCACTGTGGTCTGTTCAAAGCGGATGCAGAATTCGTATCTAACAGCCATCCCTGGGATTCGAACCCGGTTAACCTCATTGGAAGGCGAACGCTCTATCCCCTGAGCCATCACGGCTGACCGTTTATTAAAGCAAAATTGTATATTAAAGTTGAGCTAAGTTTCTCCACATAAATTAGAATTTAATTAAAGTGAAGTTAATTAAATACAGCGCCATACTGTACATCGAATTTGTTGAAATATATTTCTTTCTCGTCTGCGTCTTTTACTTAACTTAGATTTATTATTTGTTTATGTATTTTATTGCAACCATGATATATTTTTGTTTTCTACCTGGCAACTTCGATGCATAAATAATTTGTTCGTGTTTTAAATGTCTTCATACCTGTCTTTGTTCTAAGTATGAAATGTATAATTTAAGTATAGAATTATTTGTTAATTAATCTTTTTCAAAGAATATAGAATGTTTATTTAAGAGAATTGATACTTGACAGTCTTTACTTACTCTAGATGGAATGGAAAGAACAGTTGCTAACGTAAAGAAATACCATGTTTTAACAAACAATTGAAAACCATATTACGTCATGTGCAGGTATCTCATTAAGTACCATTTCTGCTATTGGTTCTCTTAAAACAGAATTTTTACAAATGCTGTGTCAATTAAAAAATATTCAACGTAATCTAAGAGTCACTTTTTCAAAACTTATCAATTTTCATATTTTTGACGAAAACTAAAAAGTGCGTCTTCTAAAATATTCTGGAAAAGTTATCACCACTTATGGCCCCATCAGATATTTAATGAGATTTCAGAAATGACACTTTTTTTTCATATTATAAAAACAGACATTTCGAATTCTGTGTTTTAAAAGTAATTATCGCAACACCCAGCTTACCATATACATATACCAGGTTGTCTTAAGCATGACATATCATGCAAATTAGGAAACATTCCACTAATTTTTAAATAGCAAAAAAAATAAAGCAAAATATATCTTTGTCATTTTACTTATTTTTATTTTATACCATAAAAACAATCGTAAATTTTGGCAAAAACTGCAACATCGTGAATTAGAAATTACACGTTTTGTATAATTTTTTCTGCAGTTTTTCAACCAATCACATGGGCCCAATGCGTTTGAAGGAAATGCTTCAGAGACATAAGTTTGACTTTTGAGAAATTTAAGGTTGTCTAGCCATTATTCTTTAAAATTAATATATATATTATTTTAAAGAATAATATCTCTCTCTCTCTCTCTCTCTATATATATATATATATATATATATATAGAGAGAGAGAGAGAGAGAGTAAGGGAGTTTATCATTCAAAGCGAAACGCGTTCCAATAATTAGAATTCACATGCGGCTTTTTTTTCCATATTTAGATTAAAATATGCTAGAAATTACATTTTAAGTTTTTCCCTTAACGAAGCGTGAAAACCGGAGAAATCTCTCGACCAATTTTATAAACAAGTTATAAGTTATAATTCCATTTTTTGTATTTGACTTAAGAGATAAAAGATGACTTAAGGTTCTGTATGATGCTACACGGCTAAGTATTACTAAGTGGTGTTTAAGTATTTTAATGTAGTGCTGTTTAATATTACTTCTTAAACTTTATTATTAGAAATTATTGTTCAATATGAACATATATATGGTTCAATGTAATATTTCTCTTAAAGTTTCAGCAAGTTCGCACCATATTATGGTTCAAGGTACCGATATTACGGATTAACTTTTTCTGAAACTATATTAGAAAGATTAAATACATAAGGCAAAAAACAATAAACAAAAATGAGTTTCTCATTGTATAGCTGTAGTTTCACTTTAAATATTGCTTAACAATTTGATTTTTTTTATTTATTGAAGCATTTTATCACCTTATTCATTTTGGTTCGATTAAAGCAAAGAGTAAAATGAAATCGATTTAATATTTAAGGAAGAGATCTTAATAACATTTTGTTTTAATATGCTTGAGCAAATAAAATGAAAATTGAGTTAAACTCACAATTGATTAAAGCTATTTTCGCGTAATGATAATCACACAGATAATAATTTTTCCTTTTTTTTTTTCAAACGTAACTCTTCCCTGGTTCAGTTTATTGGTTTTTAACAGCATTATGATGGCAAAGACATTACTACGCTAACATCATGAGATTAATTTTAATGATTTAAAATTATTATATATATTGATCTCAAAAAAAGAACATTAGTAATATGAGTTTTGTCATTAAGCTGATTTGAAGACTTAAAAATGGAAGGTTGTCACATTAATATAATAGTTGATTCATATAATTGTTTAATGTGTGTTGAATTTTCGAAATGAAACAGCCTTGTGGTCTAAGATGACCATTAAGTTGAGTTTTATATGAGAAGTGATTTCATTCCTTAAGCTTTTAATTTCACTTTTAAGTATTTAAAATAAGTGTTTTAGAAAACTCAAGCTATAAAATTAAATAAATAAAATAAAATAAGAATTAATGATTAAACAAATAGAGGCCATTTTTACTGCGCTTATAAAACAGGTATACATAAAATATAATTAATATAATAATTAATCATATTTCCAATTTATCCTATTCTTATTTCTTATGAATTTTCATTATAATAAAAAGTTAAAATGGAAATTGTAGACCGTGATGGCTCAGAAGATAGAGTGCTCGCCTTTCAATGAGGTGACGCGGGTACGAATCTCAGCGATGACTGGATGGTACGAATTCTGCTCCTGGCTCGCATCGACCACTGTGCTGACGCAAAGTATCATCGCTGCTAGAAGGATCATGGATTAGAATCCCCTTGCAGTTGGGAAAACCATGACAGATTTTCGTGATTTTGCTATCTATGTAACGCAAATGCGGGTTTGTTTCAGCAAAAAAAAATTATGAAAGCTAGTTTGTCTTGATGCTTGATCCAAAAATTCCCTTTTCCTCTGGGTTGGGTTTAAAATTACAAGACTGCGAAGTTAAACATTGATCGTCGGAAACTCCAAAAATGGATCAGCTGTTCAACGCTATTTTTATTAAATGTAATAAAAATTATAATCTTTATAACATTTTTTATTACAACTAAGTTTGTTATTAACTCTTTGACTCAGGAGGGACGCTGGTGTCCCTTTTATTTATTTTTTATCATGCTCTAATTTCAAACTCAAATATATGTGTTATGTATTTTTTAATTATAAAAAAAGAGTCTTGTTATTACTAAAATAATCTGCTCGATTATCGAAATTATATTTTTACTAAAATTTGAAATCTAAAACAGTAGTTTTAGATTTTATAAAACAGAAAATTTTGTTTTCATTCATGTGCAAAAATTTATCAGTAATTAATTTCGCAAATTAATGAATTTTCAAGGATGAATTACTGTTTTTCGTATATCTAAAAAGCTGCAAAAAAGT